CCTTCCTATTTGAAAAGTTCTTCCTAATCCCATATATTTAGCCACAATTTTGCTCCTTGTTTGTCCTTTGGGTTCCTTCCATAAGAGAAACAATGCCATATTTAAACATGTGTGTCTGATTAATTTCCCTTAAGATTATGGTCTTGTGGTGCATCCATTTGCCTAAAAATGTCTCAAATTTACCCTTCTTTGTGGAAAAGTAGCAATCCAGCGTGTATAAACACCACCTTTTCTCTACCCATTCATCTGTTGATCAGCATATAAGATGTTCATAACAGCACCGATTGTAGTAGGTAAATCTTGGAAATGGTCTCTGCTGTTTCCTTTTTTTTAACTTTATTTTTTATTAGTACATATTTGTCATGCATTTAGATAACATTCATCATAGGGAATGTTTACCTGTATGTAGTTAGTATATCTTAATCCTTTCCCCCGTTTCTTTCCCCTCCCTTCAACCCTTCTTTCCTTCCCCAATTATAAAATTTTGTTTCCACTTTTCTCCTGTCATTCTTTGTTTTTCTATTCTCTTCCTTCCCTTCCTCCTCACTCCTTCTTATTCCCCTTCTCATTGGAATACGTTCTTCCTAATTCCCAATATTTAGCCCCAGTATGCTCCTTATTTGCCCTTTGGCTTTGTCACACAAGGGAATGTAACATTTAAACTTCTGTGTCCAATTTCTTTCACCTAAGATGATGGTCACAAGGTGCATCCATTTTCCTACACATGATTCAAATTTTTCCACTTTTATGGCAGGGTAGCACTCCTTTGTATGTAACACTGTATTTTCTTTATTCATTCATCTGTTGATGGGCATAGAGAGTATTTCCAAGTTTTAGGTATTATAAATTTTGCTGCTATAAACATGGGTATACATATACCACTGTGGTATGTTGCTTTTAAGTCTTTCAGGGTGATACCTAGAAGGGGAATGCTTGGGTCAATTGGAACCTCTAGTAGTTTCTTGAGGAATCTCCATACAAATTTCCATGGTGGTTTTACCAGTTTACATTGTCAACAGCAATAAAGCAGGGTTCCTTTTTCCCTACAGCCTTGCTAGCATTTGTTGTTAGTTGCTTTCTTGAGGATAGCCATTCTTTCTGCATGAGATGGAATTTCAGTGTTGCTTAATTTTCATTTTAATGACGAGTGGTATTGCGCATTTTTAAAAGTATTTACCTGCTGTTTGTATTTCTTCATCTAAGAAATGTCTATTCATTTCAGATGACTGTTTTTGGATTGGGTCTTTAAATTTGGGGGTCTGATTTTGTTGAGTACTTTATATCTTCTAGGTGTTATTCCTTTGTCTGAGGAGTAAAGGGTAAATTTTTCCCATTCCATGGATTTTATCTTCACTCTATTGGTGATTTCTTTCATTATTCACAGCTTTTTAATTTGATGTGATCCCAGTTGTTGATTCTTTGTGATAGCTACTGTAGAATCAGGTTTTTGTTCATATAGTATTTATCTACACCTATATCTTCCAGAGTTTTTCCTATTCTATCTTGCAGCAGATTAAGTGTTTCATTTTTATGTTTAGATCTTTGACCCATTTTAATATAGTTCATGGTGAGAGATGGGTCTAGGTTCAATTTTTGGCATGTGGAAAGTCAGTTTTCCCAGTACCATTTATTAAACAGGCTCTTCCAGTGAAGGACTTTGATCCCTCTATCAAAGATAAGGTAGCTGAGTGTGTTTATAGTTATTTCTGCACCTTCTATCCCATTGCATTGAGTATCTGTTCAGCTTATTTTCCAGTATCATGCTGTTTTTAGCACAGTACCTTTGTAGTATAACTTCAAATTGGGGTTTAAGATGCCCCCTGCTTTGCTCTTACTGGTCAGAATTGCATTTGCTATATGTCTCTTCTTGTTCCATAGGAATTTTAGGATTGCTTTCTCTAATTCTGTGAGGTGTCCTATTGGTATTTTGTTTGGGACTGCATTAAATCTGTATAACAGTTTTGTAAGTATGATCATTTTCACTTTATTGATTCTGCCTTTCCTAGATCAGGGGAGATCTTTCTATTTCTGATATCTTTTTCAATCTTCCTTTTCAGAGTATTATAATTTTCAATGTATAGTTCTTTCACTTACTTTGTTAGATTGATTCCTACATATTTCATTTTTCTTGATGCTATTTTGAAAGCTGTGGTTTCCCTAATTTCTCACTGTGTATTTGTTATTCGTGTGCAAGAATGCTATTGATTTTTGAGTGTTGACTTTGTATTCTGCTGTGCTGCCAAAGATGGTTAATTCTAGGACTCTTGGTGGACTTTTGGGGTCTTCTGTGTAGGATATCATGTCACTAGTAAATAATGGTAACTTAACTTCTTCCTTTCTTATCCATATTCCTATCATTTCTTCCCTTGTCTGATTGTTGTGACTAATACTTACAGAACTTGCTGTTGTTTTCAAATTACATGTCAGATCCTTCAGGAGTCCTCAGGATCTACTTCTTTTTATTTCTGTGTTTCTTTTCCTCAGTTCTAATTTTGCAGATTCTAGATTGTGAATCTTGGAGAAGCTGAAATGCTACTGCATGAGCAGGAGAGATAGCTCAGTGGTGCAACACCTACCTGGCAAGTGCAAGGTCCTGGGTTCAATTCCTGGACCCCCCCCAAAAATTCTTTGAAATGCTATTGTTATCCACTTTGCTATTTTCCAGCAAAGTTGGAGAACTTGAAGGGAACACAAAGGGACCCCACACAGCCTGGTTTCTATTGTAGTTAACCTTGAGTTCCTGGTGAAGTTCGATGTATATAAATGGTCACAATTATACTGGGTTATTTTGCTTGGGAGGTCTCACAGTGGTGAGGACATTAGTCCAAGTGGTGACCACAAGTCAGGAGAGGGCATTACATATGGTTACTAAGTGGGGAATCCCACGAGTTGACAGACTAAAGGTATGGACCTTTCCTGAGGACTGGGGGTGTCTGCATCCCAGAGGCAAAAGACCCCATAGAGTCTTCCTGTCACCCAGTTCATCACTGGGATGCTCTAATTGGCAGGCTTAATTCTACCCTGAGGGCATTCTGTAAGGGATGAAGTCTTGGTCTCCAAGGGAGAGATCAGCTCATCTTGGGTAGAATGCAATGAGACAGAGCAGGCACTGACAGAGCAGGCACTGACAAGTACATGGGGCTTCCATACCGATGTTCTCATTGCTGATTCACAATACCTGATACCTGCAATTTAATGGAAAAAAAGTTGACTTGGGCTCGCAATTTATAAAGTTTTCATTGCATAGTCAGCCATCTCCAAGGCAGAACAGTGGAGTGGATGGGCTTGTTGGGAGGAACCCTGCTCACCACATGACCCCTAGAAGCAGAGGGTGAAGAGGGTAATGAAGAAGGAAGATAACCTGCCTTGTCACATCCACGGTGACCCTCCACTTCCTAAAAGGCCCCACAGCATGATACCAAAACAACCATAAGCCCCCATAATCCAATCACCTTTCAAAGGAACTGCTTGTACTCCATGTGAATTTCCAGAGATATCTAGATTTATACCATATCAGGGGACCTGCATCACAGGAGAGATGGGCACCATGTCTTGCCATTTGCAGTGATGCTCCCATGTAGGGGGAACACAGTGGGTGCCTGATCACTTCTTTTGAGAAACCTGGAGATCTCATAGAGGTGAGGGACTTGATCTGAGAATGTGTCTTCAGGATGGCACAGAGAAGTCCATCCGATAAGGAGACACACAGATGTCCTAGGGTCTGTCAAGAGTCAGGATGAAGACCCTAAGGGATGACGTACGGTCCTCCTGACCTGAACACAGGCAGGTCTGTGACCTTGACATCAGACCTGTGCTTGCCATCATCCCAGGAAGCCTGGGCAGTGCTGGCAGGCTGAGGCTGCTCTTAGTTCTGCATCATTGATCTCAGCGTGTGAAGGCCTTGGTAAAGGGGGCTGGAGGCGGGACGACAGAAGTAGGATCCTGGGGTCCGTCAAGCATCTCAGGGAGGCAGAGAGGATCCACTCACCTGAACACACAGTATCCTAGCCTCAAAGTGTCCCTTTTGTCACCGGTACTCAGACCCAGGGAACGTAGGTGGAGTGGCTTTTCCCCAATTCCTCTTTGATTGTCTCACAGTGACAGTGCTGTGGTTTTTAGAAGGGGGCTCCAAGTCATTGCAGGTAGAGTCCTAGACCTAAACATTTATCAAGATGGAAAAGTTTCCCTTTCCCGGGGCATAAATCCTACTGAATTTTTGTACCTCCAGCTGTGGTTCCCAGGCAGCAATGGGAAGATGTGTGACCCCTCCAGATACTTGTGATCCTTCCAGAGAGGGAGATACTTATTCTGAGAGTTTGCCTCCACCCGTGGAGGACTTGGCTCCAGGACTGGCCCAAGGACAGATGAGAGCCCTGAGTGAGCCGAAAGGGGACCATTTACCCCAAACAGAGTCCAGTCCACCCCTCCTGTGAGGTCTGGGTGAGAAGGACTGTGCTTATGATCTGCAGCCTGAGGGGCCACTGTGCCTCTTACAAGAGCTCCAGGAAGCAGGCAGCGCAAGTCTTCTGTGAGGCAGTGTCCCCAGGTCACACAGCAGAGGAGACCCAGAAGTCAGGTTAGGTACATGCTCTAGTGCACCTGTGGTTACTACTGCCCCACAGTAAGGGCACCTCATAGTGCCCAGGCTCCATATGCCATACTGCCTACCCTAGAGCCTTCTACTCTTCACTTCAACTACAGCTTGAGCAGCAGCCTCACTTCATTTCCCCGGATCAAGGGGACAGGGCCTCAGGAGGACAGGAGTCTGCACAGGCATAGAACGCTCCCCAAAGAGAAGACCTACAATGGGCCTTTGTGGGAGGTAAGAAGTGTGATGTGCTGAGCTGAGAACACTAATAACTTCCCTCTCTCCTCCAGGCGTCTGAGTCTTCAACAGCAAGCCTTTGCTGTCCCCACAGAACATCATGATGCCTAACGGTCAGGGGAGCCACGACAGAGAGTTCGGGGGAAGCCAACTCGATCAAAGAAGAACAGTCCTCATGCCTGTGCCAGTTCCCGAGAATGGGGAGGAGGGAACAGCAGCCGCTGGTTCCTCTGTGTGGTCTTTCTCCGATACTATAATCGGTCCCACACCAAGACCAGAGCTAGGCCTTTGGAAACTAGGTTCTGCTCAGAATCATGAAGGCATCTTCTCTCCTCCCACTACCGTGGCATGCACTCAGAGGAATCAGTTCAGTGAGAGCTCTGGCAGACAAAAAGCCGAGGGTTCAGGCCCCTCGCACGACATGTTCTTCCCTCATACCCTGCTCAGTGTGCTCCTAAATGACAAGTTATGTAACTTGGTGTCCTTCCTGCTCCGCAAGTATCAAAAGAAGGAGCAGGTCACCATGGGAGAAATGCTGTGCATGGTGCACCATGATTACTGTGAGCACTTTCCTTACATTTTCAGGGTACTCTGTGAGTCCATGTGTCTGGGTTTTGGCATTAATATGATGGAAATGGATCCCACTGACCACACATATGTCCTTGTCCCCGACTTGGGCCTCACTTACAGTGGCCTACTGGATAATGAAGACCAGATATTTCAAAAAGTTGATCTCCTGATATATATCCTGACTGTGATTTTCATTAATGGCGACAGAGTCAGTGAGGAAGAGTTAAGGAACAATGTGAAAAGATGGATGATTTTAGCTCAGAGGGGGCACAATGTTAATATACAGCCCTGGGAATTCGTCACTGAGGATTTGGTACGGGAACAGTACTTGGGGTATTGGCAGGTTTATAACAGTGATTCCATTTGCTATATATATGTGTGGGGTCTAAGAGCCCATGCTGAAACCACCAGGATGAAAGTTTTAGAGCATGTGGCCAGACTTAATAGCGTGGATCCCAGGTTTTATCCACATCTATATGAGCAGGCTTTGAGAGAAGAAATGTTGTAGTCATTATCCTGCTGGATAATGATGACCAGATATTTCAAAAAGTTGATCTCCTGATATATATCCTGACTGTGATTTTCATAAATGGCGAGGTAAATCCCCTGAGGAGCAAGATGTGATATGCAAAAGAGACAGGCACTGTTCTCCCACCACTTCACTAGTTATTTCCCAACCCATGGCAAATGAGGCCCATTCTCTGTACGTTTGTAGAGAAAGATAGTTTTCTAAGCAAGGAAGGGTCAGGGGAGGGGATAACATTCCACACATAGCATATTAATGTCTCTTCTATTTGGATTACTTGGAATTGTGCTTATGATTTCTTTATGACTTCTTGAAACCTTGCTCCTTTTTTGCCAGATTGAAGTAGCTTGCACATCTTATTGGAAGAATGGTGTTGATCTCACATGTATTTGCAGATATTTTTGTCTTGATGTTTAGTTAGTTTTCTGATGTCAGTGTGATTTTGTGTGACATTGCCGAAGAAAAGAGTTCCTTTTCCATTCCAAGTATAAGAGTCTTTCCTGTTCTGTCAAACAGGAAATGCATTCAATTTATTTGTGATAAAATAGGAGTGGAATAGCGATTTCCTTGAAAATGTGTAGCCAAGAAATAGACATAAGGATGACAATCAAATCTTGGCTTCTTATTTCTTTTCCTCTGTTGATGTATACTAGATATATTTACTGTTTACCTGACTCTGCTTGGTTTCTTCAATTATATTAGAGAAATTTACTGTCAATAAAGAACCCATGGGCTCATGGGCACATTGACCCCAAACCTTTCTTGCATGTGTGCCCTTTGGAAGACTCTGTGTCTGTGGTGGAGAGATCAATACACTAGACCAAACAGGAACAACCTACCCCATGGGATAGTGGAGTCCAGCAGTACCACGAATGCCAGGAGATAGAGAGATGACCTCCAGGAACTCAAGTGCAGGCAACAGAGCACCCAAGAGTGAATGCCGAGTCACAGCAGTTTGAAGTTGGAGTAAGTGCCATTGCTTCTATAGGAGCTGCTTTTAATACAGCTGCAAGGTGGTAAGGGCCAGACACTCAGATGAGGTATCTTGGTCCTGAGATGAAAACCTGAGGGGATGGAAAACTGCTCTAAGCAGCTCTTTTATATGGTGGATGAAACTAAGAGGAATCCTCACCTTGAATAGCTATGAGATTAGTCGTATCCAGGGCACAATCCAGCAGACTTACCACCTGTATTGGCAAAGTTTTCCTGAGAGATATGAGTGACTTTCAGGTTAAGTGAGACCCTAATATCTCTGATCATGTGCTCTCCTGTCTGTTGGGAGTGTCCACTTTCCAGGGTCTTGCAGTGCCCAGTTGACTTGCTTTCCTAGAGAAAACTCCTCGTGAGTCCAGGTTGTCTCAACGCTCTTACAAAATGGACATGAGGATGCGGCCTTTCACAGTGGCCAGTTACACAAGTGGTCAGATGACTGCCTCACCTGGTGTTTCTCCCTCCAGAACTCTTCTCGGGGTTGTTAAACATCTTCCCTGTCTTATACCAGGAATGATTCTGGGCCAGGTTTCAATATTTCCTTTCTAAAGGAAGTATATTCTAGTAATGTTGAGATATGTAATTTCTTTTGAAGTTTCTTTGAACTGCATCTGTACTGAGCTGCCTTTCTCACTAGAATGGCCAGAGTTTTTGGTCTTATTGTTATAGAGGTCTTGTGATCCCAAAGGCAAGACTTTGGTGATGGTGAAATGATTGAAAATAGTTGCTCCAGTGGAGGAGAAGCTGACAGGGAGGGGTATATTGTTCTTAACCAAATTCCAGGAGCTGTGACCTAGTGGGTCCCAGCAGGGAAAGACTCCCAACTATATAATCAATAATGCATCCTACTGGAGAGAACATATTTTGGGAATGTTCACTTTTGCCAGGTTTTCTATTTGGTTTTCTAATTACTTGAAACTTCCCTGGGAAACACCAAAAATTTTGGAGTAAAACAGGGGTTGTGTCTGAGTTTATGGTAATACTAAAACAATCTGCTTATCACCAGTCATTCAATATATGTCCGAAGTTCTGCTGAGTGCTTTAATATATTTCTTATATTCCTTTGATCCAACAAAAATGTGTGTCAACCCCATTTTATAGATGAAGAACCTGTGGTCTACTGACCTTAGGAACTTCTCAGGATGCCTGTGTGGTAAATGACAAGGCCAGGACGAGACTTGTAGTGTGAGATCATCGAGAGGCCAACCTGTCCCCATTCCTCCTGCCCTGAACTCAGCTGTGTTTCTGAACTTATTTCTGTATTCAGAGATATGAAAAAAAAAATTCCTAGGCTGTAGAATAATCCTGTGTCTAAGGCATTAAAACCTTTTTTTTTTTTTTTTTTTTTTGGTATCTCTCCGGTACCAGGAACCGAACTCACGACCTTGCGCTTGCCAGGCAGGTGCTTTGCCGCTGAGCTAAATCCCCAGCCCCTAAGCCATTAAAACCTTGTCTGAATTAAGACTGTGAAAATGTGCAGGCAATGGGTGTACCCTACTCCCAGGGCAACCGCCCACACTCATCTGTCCTCAGCCACATCATGTAGAAGGCCCTGCCTGTCCCTTTGCTCACCCTAGAAACCCTCCAATAGCAACAGCCTTTTTTGGCATAAAAGTTAACTTTGGACTATGATGTTTAGACCCTGGATTCTACTCCTGGCATGCAAAACAACACACTATCAAACTCTCCCAAATGGGTGATAAGTAGTTTGAAATGTGACACAATCTCCTCCTTGTCTTGGGAGGTAAAGTAGGATAGTTTCAGACAATTATGACATTTTTGTAGGATTTTAAGTGAATGAGTCACTAGAAAAGGTCCACATGACTCATGTGCAAGTACATGAGCTCATATAGGGGTCAGACCCGCAGCTCCCTGACAAGCTGCAGGGGAGGCAGGACCATGCTTACCGTAGCAGAGGAAAGAAAAACATCTGGTAAGGTTGCAATCCTCAAGACCTGAAGTCCTCTGAGTAGATGGCAGCTTGTTCTTTGTTGATTTTAAAATAAAAATAAAAATAAAAACAAAAACAAAAACAAAAACACGTTCCTTCTCCAGACGTTGGTGTGTGTCCCACCCCACAGGAAAATCCTGGTTTTCAATACGCCAAATGACACTAGTCCTGATGTTCAGACAGGGGCCGTCATGTGTACTGTAGGAGCAGTTCACAGGTTAGCAGACTGGCCATGAGGTCAAAGACAGTAGGACATTCTCAGCCCGCTAAGACTGGAGGTTATTGTAAAGGGAATAATAGAGAAATGCAAATGAGTGAAGATGAAAATTTCTCCTGCTAATATGTTTACAATAATATGGAAATGAGATTGATTCTGTATCTGAAGCACCTGTCACATAGTAGATGGATATTTGAAAATGCTGGAGAATTTCTGTGCCTGTCTCACCTGCTCAAAAACTCTTCCCAGAAAGGTAGAGAATTTTATCCTCAGAAACAATATTTATTGCTTTTAGTTGAGCACCTACTATATCAACTTTTATGCGGACACTACAAGCCTCACAAACACGCAGCATGTGTTCCCTGCTTTTTTGGATATGGGAGCATTATAGTCCCTTTGTCTTTAGGAAGAGTCTTTAGATGAACTTGTGTCACTGAAATACTAACAGACCCATTACTTATTCATTATAGTTATTCTACAGGAGATTCTGAGGAAGAACTGGATTAATCCTCACACCCTGGGTTTACACCCCTAGAAGTTTACGTCGTGCATGTTCGTTCCTTTGACAGGAGCCTGCTAATTCTGTACCCTGATGGTCCTAGGCAGGAGCTGACCCACAAATGCTGACTAAAGGGTTTTCTTCATACTTCCCACACCGTTCAGGCTCCTGAGCGCACCTGTCAATCCCATGACAGTTGTGATGTTCTCCCCAGCGTGAATGGCAGGGGGTAGGAAAAATCTTCCAAGTCCCTGTAGCCCCTGGAAGTTTCCTTCTCCTGTTGCTTTGTCCAATTGGCCTACCAGCTCCTGAACGCAGCCTCAGCCTGCCTAGTTTGGAGCATTATGCTCTCTATGTACCTACTGATAGCCAATCAGCTTAAAGCAGGACCCGGTGCTAATGGTAACATGCAAATATCTTCACCTGAAGATTTCTGGAAAGAACTATGTTATGAAGTTATTTCTGTATGGTCCCAGAAGAGCTATGATGTGGAACAAACAGAAATGTACAATGAACACATTTTTCTTTCCACGTGAGACCTGTTAAACAAGACTAGGGTTTAAAAGCTGAGCTGAGAGCAGGTGCTGCACAACCAGTCAGCAGGAACATGAGCCTTGATTCAAATAGACACTTCTAAGATCAACCTGCTCATGCCATAGCAGGAAAGTTCTTATCACTGGAGGATTAGTCCTCAGTGAATCTGCTTGATCTATTCCCGAAGCAGTTCTTATGAGAAGGGATACTTTAAAAATACTGTTCTCTCTATTGCCACTGGCTCCTAAACCACAAGACTAAGCTACTACCATTCTAGGGAGCCCTCGGTCTCAGCCGGAACCTGTGCTGTTCTGGGCAGTGATACTGACCACTGAAGTTCATACTTTTGTCACATAGGAAAAAAAAACAAAGATTTATCTAAATCTCACCAGAGGATATGCAAGTGTCCACGTGCCATAAATTGCCATCTCACCTTGTACCAATGAGGATGAGTCTTTCATATTTAAAAACAGATGGAGGGTAACGCAGAGAGAGAATGCAGATCTCCACCCCTGCCTTATTACTTGCAGTAATCTTCAGCACATCCTCCTTTAAGCTGGGCTCCAGCTTCCTAGGCTCATGGTATCTGCATATTCTGCTTCTTTGGGCTGAGGAGAAGAGGAGCTGTTTCTCACGAAGTCGGCAAGAAGAAGCTTGTATTATTTGCTTGTTTATAAAAGGAGGAAATTATTTTTATACTTTGAGTTTGCATTTCCAATCATAGCAGCTCACATGCTAGTGTAACACAGACGTTCCTCCCTGGTCTCTATTCCCTTTCCAGGCTAAAACAA